GGGAAGTACACTTGAACGCATTGGCACAGGGAACCACTTCCTAAATATAACCCCAGCAGCACAGACACTGAGAGAAACAATTAATAAATGGGACCTCCTGAAACTGAAAAGCTTCTGTAAAACAAAGGATAAGGTCAACAAGACAAAACGACAGCTACAGAATGGGAAAAGATCTTCACTAACCCCACATCAGAGTCTGATCTCTAAAATATACAAAGAGGTCAAGAAATTGGACACCAAAAGAACACATAATCCAATAAAAAAAAATGGAGTACAGACCTAATCAGAGAACTCTCAACAGAGGAATCTAAAATGGCTGAAAGACACTTAAGGAAATGTTCAACATCCTTAGTCATCAGAGAAATGCAAATCAAAACAACTCTGAGATTTCATCTTACACCTGTAAGAATGGCCAAGATCAAAAACACTGATGACAACTTATGCTGGAGGGGTTGTGGGATAAAGGGAACACTTCTCCATTGCTGGTGGGAATGCAAGCTGGTACAGCCCTTTGGATGTCAGTGTGGCGATGTCTCAGAAAATTAGGAAACAACCTTCCTCAAGATCCAGTAATACCACTTTTAGGTATATATCCAAAGGATGCTCAATCGTGCCACAGGGACATATGCTCAACTATGTTCATAGCAGCATTGTTTGTCATAGTCAGAACCTGGAAACAACCTAAATACGCCTTGATTGAAGAATGGATAAGAAAAATGTGGTACATTTACACAATGGAGTACTACACAGCAGAAAAAAATAAACAACAGCTTGAATTTTGCAGGAAAATGGATGGAGCTAGAGAACATTATTTTGAGAGAGGTAACCCAGACCCAGAAAGACAGTTATCACATGTCATAAGTGGTTTTTAAACACAAAGCAAAGAAAGCCAGCCTACAAACCACAATCCCAAAGAACTTGGACAACAATGAGGACACTAAGAAAGACTCACATAGATCTAATCTACATGGAAAGTAGAAAGTATAAAAAGGCAAAATCTCCTGAGTAAATTGGGAGCATGGAGACCTTGGGGGAGGGTTGAAGAGGGGAGGGGGGAGGCAGGGAGGGGAGCAGAGAAAAATGTACAGCTCAATAATATAAATATAAAATAAAATAAATATAAAAAAAATACACTGAGAGTTGAGGATGATGGCACTGACTTGTATTCACAGCTGCTTGGGAGGGTAAGACAGGAGGATTACAAGTTGGGAACCAGCCTGGGCTACAAAGTGAGTTCAAGGCTAACCTGGCCAATTCAGCAAGACCCTGTCTCAGAACAAAAAAGGATTAGACTGCCAGGCGATGGTGGCCTACGCCTTTAATCCCAGCACTCAGGAGGCAGAGGCAGGCGGATCTCTGTGAGTTCGAGACCAGCCTGGTCTACAAGAGCTAGTTCCAAGACAGGCTCCAAAACCACAGAGAAACCCTGTCTCGAAAAACCAAAAAAAAAAAAAAAAAAAGGATTAGACCTTAAAATTAAAAACATAAATATACAAGCAACACTAAACAGACCCAGCCAAAAGTCCTGGTTTCAACACTCAGTACCGTGAAACAAACAAAATAAATGGAAAGCAAAGATTCAAATTAGCCACACATACTTAAAGGTAGGTAGATAGAGAAGATATTTTACTTAGCCAGGCAGTGGTGGCGCACACCTTTAATCCCAGAAATTGGGAGGCAGAGGCAGGTGATCTCTGTGAGTTCGAGGCCAGCCTAGTCTACAAGAGCTAGCACAGGCTCCAAAGCTACAGAGAAACCCTGTTTTAAAAAACAAAACAAAAAAACAAACAACAACAAAACTTCATTAGGAATGATGTGGCAATACAGATAAGTGAAAACAAGATAAACCACTCAAAACAGATAATAATAGCGCAGTAAACTGTCTATGTGGAAGAAATTATACCAGGTTCCTTTCTCAAATAAAACCAGTGAAAGGTAAATTAAATAGCTCAGTTTCTACTACCAATAATAACAATAATGATGATGATTTTAGTTTTTAACATTCTCTATTATGTTTATCTATGGGGGGAGACAGTGCTGAAAGCATATATGGAGGTTAGAGAACAACCTGCCACCAGAGATTCTCCCCTTCCACCATGTGGGCCCTGGGAACAGTGAGGGCCTTTACCCAAGAGGTTAAGATAGTAGGGCCATGAGTTCCAGGCCAGCCTGGGCTATACTGCAAGACCTTGTCTGAAAACAGTAATAATAGTGATAATAATAATAAGCGAGTAAATCTCCAGGCACAGTGGCGTGTACCCAGTGTCCCAGATACTGAGGATGCTCAAGTCTAGTCCAGAGTCAGCTTGAGAGACAACAAGATCCCACCTTAAAACCACAACAATTCCAATAAACAGACCAAGGAAATGAAAATATACATTCACACAAAAACGCAGCATTGCTCAAAACAACCAAAAATAGCGCTCAGCAGTTAGGAACACTTCTTGCCCTATCAGAGGGCCAGAGTTTAGATCCCAGAACCTTAATCATGGTTCACAGAAACCCAACTCCTACTCCAGAGCATCTGATGCCCTTTTCTGACCACCACGGCCACCTACATACACACATGTACACATACACACATGTAAAAAGAAATAATATTAAAAATAAAAATAACCCCACCCAAGCACAGTGACACGTTTGTCTATAATCAAAGCACTTGGGTGGCTAATATGGTTATAGTATAAAGTGACTTCCTTTATACTGAGTTCCAGGCTAGCCAGTCTACACAATCAGTCAATCAATCAGTGAACGAACAAATCTGAATGGCCTCCAAATGATGGAAGAATAAGTAAAGGCAATACATGCATCGAATGAAACAATAAAAACGTACACGCTATAATAGAAACTTTATAAAGTTCCTGGGGAGCTGAACTGAAAAACATGTGTACTCATGTATGAAGCTGTTAAAAGAATCTTAAAAATGCTAAGTGAAAAAAAAAAAGCCAGCCACAACAGGCCACATAGTGCATGTTTCCACTAGCGTGAAATGCTCACACTAGGCAAATCTACACACGTATAGTGCGATGGACGTGGCCGAGAGCTGTGTTTGAGACTAGACAATATCTGTCACCCTGTGCAGCTGCAATTTCAAAGCCTGCATGATATCCAAATGTTGAATTAAATACAGTAGGTTGTGTATAATCCCTGCACTAGGGAGACAGAGACAGGCAGAGCTCTATGAGTTTGAGGCCAGCCTTATCTACATAGTGAGTCCCAGGCCAGTCAGTGAGACCCTGCCTAAAAAACACACGCTAGGATAGAAGCTTAGCCCGATTTTTCAAATGGCCTTGAAATGTTAGAATATTGATAGCTACACCCCATAAACAATTCAGCAGCACTATTTTCAGACTTCCTGTGAGCATGTGTCCTGAATAACTGAAGATAAAACACAGCTATTCTCTCTCTGATGGCAGTATTAGCAGCAAAAGTACTCAGGGAGGAGGCGGCAGAAAGTTCCCGGAGCACTAGGACAAACAGTGGCGTACACACACACACACACACACACACAGAGTAAGCAGTCTGGCAAACACTGACAATCTTCCATTCTGGACTATTTACATCAGATGGGAATTTTTAAGATATTTTTTCACCCCAACAGGCAGCATTGCTTTGCAATCTAAATGTAACTGCGTATCACCAGGGGTTACATAGGAAAGAACTTTCTAGTTAGTATTCCTCCCAAGTCTGTCATTCTCCTTGGTGCAGGCCTGCTTTCTGTTACTATAAAAGACGTGCTCTGCGCGGTAGAGGGGGTGGGGATTTCACAGGCAAGATTTACCCATACTGAAACTCAATGTGGGCTAAGTATAGTGGAGTTTAACAAGACAGTTGGCATTTCCCAATTTTGTGCATTGAAAGGTTAAAAGAGGAAATGAATTTCCTCAGATTCTCCAAAACTATGTACATAATTCTTAAGAGACTGGTCCAAAAGACTAACAAACCATACAATTTAAGATAGATAAAGCAAGACCAGCATTCTAATACATTTTGCTTCTATGTGAAAGATAATAGATAATTAGATTTTAGATTCAAGTATCATTTGCACACCCTAGGAAGCTCAAAATGGGGGAAGCCAAAAGAAGCAGGCAAAATAAAAATGACTACCATTTAAAAACTCCTTGCAAGTTCCTCCCGCTGCCAAATACCGATTCAGCTCCCTCCTGCACCTTCAAACCGGTGCGCGGTTACTGTTACCACCACAGAAACTGTAGCAACTGACAACTGGTTCTCCAGATCAGAGAGCGAAGTGATGTCGGTCTCCCAACAAATCGACAACCAATCCTTTAAAAATGAACTCACCTAGACTCTGCTCCCTTCCCTCTCGGCTTCTCTTTAACCCTCGCGCTCGACTGCTGGAACGTGCCTGTGTCAGAATTACACTACCGTTCCGAAAACACTGTCTAGCAAGAAAGTTAACGACTTCACATCGGAAACACCATGTTTCGCAGTGAGGCTGGGTCTTGGTTACCAAGTGTTTCATTTTAAGCAAAAAGTATCACCATTACACATGAGACGAACTAAGTTTAAAAACTCACACCAAGCTGAAGGAAATGCACGACGACACGGAAAGTGTTTCCCGGGGTAGGGGGGTGTCTAAGAAACTATATTTAACTGTATTAATACAGTCTAGTGGTTAAATCCCAAGATTTCTTCCATCGCTTAATTTTCTAGAACTCTGACAGGGCCTGTTTGTGGGTACTGTGCGAACTCGTGGGTAGGGGTTTAGGACTGGAAGAGCCAAATTAAAACAAGTGCAGAAAGCCAAGGGGCGTAGCGTACCTGCCAGCGGCCGTAGGTGAGCAGAACCATGGCGATGGGGATGGCGGTGCCGGACATGGCATGCGTGGAGGGCATGCTGTACTCTGAGTTGTAGAAGATTTCCAGCTTGACGACCGGCGGCGAGGCCGGTCGCGGCCAGCGGATGATGTCCTTGGTGCACTGGCCCAGGTACATGACCAGCACCCAGATGATCACGAGCCTCCGGCCCACGAACGGATCGAGGTTCCAGATCCAGAAGGGGAAGAAGAAGATGTAGAAGAGCTCGTTGCCCAGCTCGGTGCCTAAGCTGAACAGGTAGTAGAGCGGCCAGTTGCTCACCCTGACCAGCTCGCCCTCCTCGCCCGTCAGCGAGTTGCGGCGCAGCGAGCCCGCGCGGCGGGGCCCGGCCGGGCCGGGCTCAGCAGCCAGCCCGTTGCGTACGCCGTTGGGGGCGCCGCAGCAGTCGGGCTTGGCGGGGCCGGGGCTGCGCTCCGCGCCCGGCTGCTGTCCCCGTCGCCGAGGGTTCCCCGCGGCCCCGCGAACCTCGCTCTCCGCATCCTCGCCCTCCGCGGGGCTGCCGAGCGGCGCCTCCACCCCACACAGACGCTGGAAGCTCGCCACCCGCTGCGGCTCCTGCAGACGGACAGCCAGCAGGGCCAGCCGCTGCCCCAGGGACATGATCGCGGGCCACTAGGGAATGGATCCGGACACGCGCTCCCCGCCCGTCACTGCCGCCACGGCCCCTAGCTCGACTCGCTCAAGGCTGCAGGCGACCGCGCCAACAGGCCGCAGCGGCCGCCGCGCGCGCCTTGCGCCCCGCGCGCCCCTCCCCTGGCGCGCTCCCCGCCCCGCGCGCTCACGGAGGCCCGCGCCGCGCGCGCAGCCCGGAGCTTCTCCCCCGAAGCCACGCCTCCGGGTCTCCTGCCCGGGTTCTCCGCGGGCTGCCGTGAGGCCCACAGCGCGGTCCTAGGCAGGGCTGGTGACCCAGGAGCCGCAGGTTTTATTGGCCTGCAATCAACTGGGGCGTGATGGATGAGGTAAAGAACCGCCGAGCAACCGGAATCGTCCGACTCACATCATTAATTAGCAACTAATTTCAGAGTTGTCTCGGATGGTTGATGTCCGGAAAGACACGTGCCAATTGACTAGTGGCAAGATGAGAAAGAGGTAGATCTCCAGGACGGCCTGGGCATGAGATAGCTCACACAGCTGTGGTCTGCAAGAGAAAAGCTTACAAAGTCAAACCAGGCTGTCACTCACCTCATATGTACCTTAAGTGAACTTAAGTGTAAAATTTCCTTAATAATGAAGTCTAACACCTACCAGGATTGTACAGAGCACATGATTTATGAGCGAATGCAGCATGTAAATTTCCGAGATAGGTTTTTCATTTCGTTTTTTTTTCCCATTGGTTTTCTTTCTTTCCTTCCTTCTCCCCTCCCTCCCTTCGTCCTCCCTCCCTCCCTCCCTCCCTCCTTTCTTTTTCTTTTCTTTTCTTTTTTTTTTTTAAAACCAGAGTATAGTCTAACCCAGATTATCCGCAACCTTGCAGTGTAGTTAAGGCTCACACTGAACTCCTGATCCCCCGAGTGCCATCTCCCAAAAGCTCGTATTACCAGCATGTGTCACCATGCCAGGCTTGAATTTTGAATTGGCTAGGCTAATTTAGAACTTAGAATCTTAAATTTTCTGTTTTAGAAATAACTCGACTTCTAGATGGAACCGATTATATTAAAAGATTTCAAAGTTTTAATTCCAGGAATTTATTTCAGGCACAGCAAATGAATGCCTATAATTAAAGACTGAACTACTTCCAAGAAACAGGCTGAAAGATGTTCCATGCTGGTAAGTCATTAGAAATATTTTCATTTTCCAAAATGTGGGGAGGTGGTGTTACCCCCTTTTAATCCTAGCACTCGGGAGGCAGATACAGGCAGATCTCTTGATCTACAGAGTGAGTTTCAGGATAGACAGGGCTACACAGAGAAACCCTGTGTTGAAAAAAACAAAACATAACAAAACCAAAAAACTATATGTGTGTGTGTGTGTGTGTATGTATTATATATATTCATTTTCCAAGAAAGAATGTTCCCACTGCCTTCTACTCCACTTGTCATAGAGAGAGGAAAGTCCTCATTTCCGGCCCTCAAATTGCTGGGAGTGTGGAGAGGTAAGGTGGAGCACAACTGTAATCCCAGCACTTGGAAGTGGAGATGGGAAGATTTGGAGTTGGAGACCAACTGGGGCTACATAACAAGATACTGTATCAAAATAAGTATCCACAGCCTCGTGAAGGAGACAAAGTATGAGAAGGGGTATACTGGGCCTGTAGAGCAGGGTACACAGTAACCACTGTTTGCCCAGGGTGTTACTGACAAGGGTGTTATCTTGCAAACAGGAGGCTTGAGTTCAGTCCCAACACACACACAAACACACACACACACACACACATACACACACACACACACACACACACACAGAGAGAGAGAGAGAGAGAGAGAGAGAGAGAGAGAGAGAGAGAGAGAGAGCAATGTGATTAGTTGATGTTTCTAACGAATATAAACCATCATTATAAACTTTAGCATTTGGTGAAAATAATTTATAACAAGACACGCTGTCCTGGCCAGGAGCTTGCTAGATTCTACTGGGTCTGTGGTAACAGGTGTTTGCTACAACTGGGTATTGTGTTTGTGTTGCCACAACCTCAGACTACCAAATTGTAGGGCTGTAGGATGAACCACTACGCACAGTTTGTGTTGTGTGTGTGTGTATGTGTGTGTGTGTGGGGGGGGGTTTGATACAGGGTCTTACTATGTAGCCTGAATGCCCTGGAATTTAGGTACGTAAACCAGGCTGACCTCAAACTTGTAGCTATCCTTCTGCCTCTGCCCCAGGAACATTATCTTTGATTTTTATATCCTTTGCACCTAAAACAACTATTATTGAATAATTGAATGACTGTAAATGAATGCATAAACTTTTAAAAAGGCCATTTCTACCAGCTGGGTGTGGTTGTGTATGCCTGTAAATCCCAGCACTTGGGAGGTGGAGGCAGGAGGATCCAAAGTGTTTTCCAAGAATAGAAAGTGGGGAAAGCGGCCACTTCAAAGTTCCTTTTCTTGTAAAGGTGGAAACAGACAGCTGGCCTTTAGAGGCTCAAGCCTTTAGCAGGAAGTGCCTCTGGTTTGGTTCGTTTGTTGGAGCCTAGTATAAGGGCCTTGTCTAAAACAAATATCTTCTCTAGCTCTTATTCAACAACATACTTGTACATTCTTTTTCTGTGTCTCAAATACACTCCTAAATTCTGTCTGACTTTCTATCACAAATCTTACTCCTACCCTATTAGGAACAAGCACTTCTCATTGTTACTCTCCTGGCCTTGTGTCTTCCTCCTCCCTTAGAGCATTTCAACAAAGGAGACTTTTATAACGAGGTCTTGGATACATTGTAAAAAGCTATGCTCTGTAGCTTCTGCTGGCTCGGAAAAACACACACACACACTCACACACGCACACTTTCAGAAATCTGGGGAAATTTAAATGGAAACGGACGGGAAATGTCTGTGTGCTCCGTTTACTTTAGGAGATATTTAACGGGTTAAATCCACGAGGTTGATGACACGCCTCAGGGCAGACAGTCACTGCCTCCAAACCTGAGAATTGGAGTTTAATCCCAGGGCGGAGAGACCTGGTTTCTACAGGTTTCTTCTCTGCCCTCTAAACTATGTGCACTTATTAAATATACTAAAATTTTTTTCATTGACAATCTTTAATTGTGATCTATAGAATGCTAGTAAGGCTTTGTAACAACCTGGAACTCATCAGAGGGGGTGGAGTGGGGGGAAGCGAGTGATCTCACTGCAAGACCTAAAAGTTTGGCTCAGGACTCAGGCTTAATTTCCAGGCGTTGCAAATACTCTTGGCATCACACAGAGAATCACACAAACAAAAGGAAAGTCTGAGAGTCTGAGGCAGGAGGCTTAGGGTTTGGTTTGGATTTGGGGGCTTTTTTTGTTGTTGTTTTGTTTGTTTGTTTGTTTGTTTTGATAAAATGTCTTCCTATGCAGTCTGGCTAACCTGGAACTCACTCTGCAGCTACCCTAAACTCAGAGATAACCTACCTCTGCAGGTTATCTTGAGGGCTGGGATTAAAGGATTGCCCATGCAATCCCAGCCTCACTTGGTTTTTATTTTAGCACAGATTGTGATGTTGGTTCTCCATGAACCGGGTTCTGACCTCACGCTCTTTCAAGATTGGTTAGTTTTTTTTAAAATGTGAATAAAGGATGGAAAGAAAAAGGGGAAGGTGTAGGTTGTCTTAGGCCATCACCCTGTGTGGAAACAAATGAGTACCAGGTGACAGAGATTAAAAAATTGTTTAAAAGTTTTGCGAGGTGGGGGAGATTAAAAGATTTGAATTCCTTTCATAAAAGTTTCACAAGATAGGGGAAGATTTATGGAATATTAGCCCTTGTGGAGCAAGGTACGCTTGAGAGGAAAAGAGAATTTCCTTACTTAGACGACTGTCAAAAATGAAAACAAATGCGAGAGAAAAGCAACTTGAGGTTGGATTAGTGATGCCCTTTTTGAATTATTTTTATTTTTCAGTTTTATTGGGGTTACTTAGAGGACTGGATGTGAAGGGGACTCCTGCACTTCGGGTGCTCCCTTCCAGACCCCAGATTAAGCACAGGCCACACCCAAACACCTGTTTTCACAGAGAGATCCTTTAGTAAGTAGGGAAGAAAAGTGGCTGCTATCTGACTCTGGTAGAAAAAAAAAAACATAGCAAGCAGCAAGTGACCTTGCAGCTGTAATTTTTAAGCTGAGAAGAAGGGGAGGTCTGTGTTAGGATGGGCTAGGATGTGGTGATAGAGGAGATAGAGGACAAGGGAGAAGAGGAAGGGAACAAGGGAAAGGGGTTAGGGGCATTTGTCCCAATGGGACAAAGGACCGCCTCTGCATAATCCCTGTACTCGGGAGGCAGAGGCAGAGGCAGGTGGTACTCTCAGAGTTCAAGGCCAGCCTGCTCTACAGAGTGAGTTCCAGGACAGCCAGGGCTGTAACACAAAGAAACCTAGTCTTGAAAAACCAAAAGAGGGAAGGAAGGAAGGAAGGAAGGAAGGGAAGAAGGGAGGGAAGGAAAAAAAGAAAGAAGGAGAGAGAGGAAGAAAGAAAAAAAGAAAAGAAATGGTAAAAAAGGCTCAAATTAAATTGTCTTTAAAATCCAAAAAAATCACTACAGTGGTGAGCAATATTACAGTAGAGAGAACCTGGGACCCTAAGACCTGCAAGCTCTCAAAAGTTAGCAGAATAGCTTGACTTCAGAGAGAAGAATGAACAAGACAGAGAAGGAAGCTTGGGGAGAGGGAATCGAAGGGGGGTATGATTGAAGGGTAAAAGGGCCAAGCTCACTTCTGGGTTTGAAAACCTGTCAACACCGGCCAATCCCCACCACTCCCCAAGAAACCCAATATAAAACCTGCCTCCTGCTCAGTTCCCTGCTGCTTCGTCTGAGCAGAGCAGCCACAACCACCCGCAACCCGGTGGCGTTTCTGAATTTTTAGATGAGTCTCACCAAGACAGATCCTCTAGTAGATAGTCTCAGAAAATGGAGAATGAAAGTGTTTCCTCACAATAGAGTAGAACTAAATAGAACTAAAAGGTGGGATTAGGGTAACAACTCAGCAAAGGAAAACCCTCCCAGACCGGCCGTGGCAGTGCACACCTTTAATTCCAACACTGGAGAGGAAGAGGCACGCAGATCTCTGTCAAGTTCAAGACCAGCTTCGTCTACATAGTGAGTTCCGGGACAGCCAGGGCTTTCTAGTTGAGATCATCTAAAAACAAGCACCTTTCCCACACACCTACTAAATGCCTAGTAGGCCTGGCTGCCTGCCAGTGAATCCCAGCACGCTGGAGGCCAAGAGAAGGAATGTGTGGAGCTGACCGACTGACAAGGATAGCCAAGTCCTCAGCTCTCTGCTCAAGTGAGAGACTGCTTCAGTGAATAAGGTGGTGAGTGATTAAGGAAGACATCAATCTCTGGCCTCCACGTGCAAATAGACACACACACACACACACACACACACACACACACATATATATATATATGTATATATACAGGCCAAAAAATTTAAATTAACAATAAAAGAAAGAAAAAGGAAAGCTTCAGAGCCTTTGGCGGTTAAGATGTACCCCTATTTGGGTTTCATTTCAACACCTAGACTTAAACATGTTTTTTCACACCCACATTCTCTTTCAAGGTTTCGTTTGGGTTTTTGTTTGTCTGTTTGTTGAATACATTTTCTTTATTGAAATAGAGTCCTGAATACCCAGGCTGACCTGGAAGTCACTAGTAATTTAGGATGCTTGCTTTTTGTTTGTCTTCTTTTCTCACTGTCTAGCACTTGCTGGCCTAGATCTCATTAAGCACAGCAGGCTGGCCTCAGTCTTTTAAACGCTAGGACTAAAGGCATCTATATCCTGCAAGGCTAGCTTTGAACTACTGGATTTCTTGATTCACATACACGTTCTGTGATTACATGTGTGCACCACCACACTCAACCGTTTCTATTGCCGTCTGTTTATTGTTTGGATCCAAGTATTACCGGGCAGTCCAGTGCTTGGAACTGAAGGTTCTCCTGCCTCAACCTCTTAAGTTCTGGACATTTGCGCTAGTGCCCAGCTTCAGTGCTAGGTTGATTTTTTTTTTCATTTTATTTTTGTTTTTACTTTTGCTTCTGACACAGGGTCTCCTGTAGCCCAGACTGGCCTTTAACTAGCAATGTCACCACGGCTGGTCTTGAATTCCTCATTTTCTATTTCTGTCTCCCAGGGCCGGGATTAGAGGCAGGTAGCATCACACCTGGCCAGTGATACCATTTTGCATTTATTAGGAACACAATCACTCCACTTCTCAAAGACTTTCTCACCTCGTTTAGTTGCTAATATTGGTACTTAGCCACAGGGATGGGAGATGTGGTTCAGCAGTCTAGAACACTTGCTGCTCTTGCCAAGGACCTGGATTTGGTTCCCAGGAAGCACCCATGTGAATATTCATAATTGTCCTTTGCTCCATTTCCAAGAGACCTGCAGTCCTCTTCTGTCCTCTGAGGGCACCTCGTATGCACTTGGGTGCACATACATGGCACGAAGATAAAGTATCATAAACATGAAAATTTTAAAATAAAACCTTTAAAATTAAAATGAGCAAGCAAGCAAACCAAATGAATACTGGAATGTCAACGTCATGATACAGCACATTTCCAAAGATCTGAATTCGTCATTTCCTTTGATCCTTACAATGATACTAGAATAAACTATTGTCATGATTTTATTTATTTATTTTTTTTTACCTTATTTTACCTTTAAGTACATGGCTATGCATTTGTGTGTGCAGCTGCTCTCGGAGGCCAGAAGAAGGTATTGGTTACAAGTGCTTGTGAGTGGCCCTAGGAGGGTGTTGGGAATAAAACCCAGGTCCTCTGCAAGAGCAATTTGCCCTCTTAACCCCTAAGCTGTCTCTCCAGCCCCCTATTATTGTTACTGTATGTTTGTGTAGAGGCATCCATGCTATGGCTCATGGGCAGAAGTCAAAGGACAGTTTTTTTTGTTTTTTTGTTGTTTTTTTTTTCTTTTTCGAGACAGGGTTTCTCTGTGGTTTTGGAGCCTGTCCTGGAACTAGCTCTGTAGACCAGGCTGGCCTCGAACTCCCAGAGATCCGCCTGCCTCTGCCTCCCGAGTGCTGGGATTAAAGGCATGTGCCACCACCGCCCGGCTCAAAGGACAGTTTTGTGGAGTCTGTTCTTCCACCTCATGCAGTTCCCAGGATTATGAACTCAGTTTCTTAGGCGTGGGCAGCAAGAGCCTGACCTGCCAAACCATTTCATCAGCCTGATTGTCACTGTCTTACACTGAAACAACAGAACGTGGTAAAGTCAGAATGAGAACTGTCTGCTAGGTATTGATAGGGTCTTGGTGTCCTTCCCACTGTTCTATCAACTGGACAGAGCTCCAGCAGCGCTGTAAGATCGGAGCATTTGCGAAGCATGCCAGGTTAGCTAAAAGCATATCCTTAAAATACATCTGAATTACACATTTTTTCCCTTTCTCATCTTGCAGTGCTGGCTTCTAACTCAGACCTAGCGGTGCCAAGAAGATGTTCTACCGCTGTGCTAAATCTCCAAGCCCCTGACAGGCTCTGGTTAACTATAAACTTCAGAAGCTCCCACTGAGAGAATAATCAAACTCACATGCACAAATGAGTAAGTGTTTTCTCTACAGAGAAATGACACCCCTGGAAGTTTTTCCTTTTGTTTTGTTAACAGAGCCTGTCTCTGTAGCCCAGGCTGGCCTGGGCTTCTCAGTGGCCCTACTTCAGACTCCTGAGTCCTGAGACTGTAGGGATATACCAGCATGCCCTTATTTCCTGAGCAGTTGAACAAATTAATGTAAATGTGTTGAATGGATAGTAATATTGGGGCTGGAGAGATAGTTTAGCCATTAGGAGCACTGTCTGCTCTTCCAGAAGAGCTGGCTTCAATTCCCAACTCCCCATCCCTATGGTAGCTCACAACTGTCTGTAATTACAGTCCCAAGAGATCCCTCATACAGTCAGACATAGAGGCAAAAGTCCAAGGGACATAAAAATAACTTACAAAAAAAAGAGAGAAAATGGATAGGAAGATGAACTGATTAAATAATGTTATTGGCTGTTGTTGTTTTAGACTAATAGTCACCTGTGTCAGAGTTCCATATTCAAAGAGGAACTAAGTCGTTACCTGGCCATTGAGGAAATCAAGAGAGAGAGAGATCAAAGTCAGAATGATAATGGGTTGTCCAGTGCCCTAGTCCTCGAATAATGATTTACCAAGCTGGGCTAGACAGCACAAGCCTTTATTCCAGGTTATTGGGAGTCACTGGGTTAGATTTCTGTGAGGTTGAAGCAAGCCTGGTCTACATAGCAAGTTCCCGGTAGCCAGAGCTGTTCAGTGAGACCTTGTCTCAAAGCCAAACCATCAGAATTATTTCTAAATAAGTTGATGTTGACTGAGCAGTTATTTTCCTATTATTCCCTTTCTGCTGGGTAAGGGACTAGTTCTGGAGCAGCTCATCTGCCTTTTGCTGGTTTTGTCCCAACTTTGACTGTGACACCATCCTTCTCCCCGGGACTCATCCAAACTCCTCTTCTGTCTGGGTAATGAAATGTTGCTGAGTGAGTGAACGGAATGCCATAGTTTCCCCCTTGATGTGCCATAACTTCATTTACTCTTCTATTATTTTAAGAAGCTCAGTACTAAGGCTGGGCTTGGTGGCACAGGGCATGAAAACCTTGGAAGGCCGAGGTGTGTTGGTCCTCCCCTGGCTGTAAGGTTCAAGGCCAGCCTTTGCAACTTCCTGGGACCAAGACACAAAAGAAAAGGAAAAGGAGCGCTAGAGCTATACCTCAGTGAAAAAGAACTAATGAACTAATTAACTTAGCACTTGCAGGACTCTAGGTTCAATCCTCAGTACAGAGGGTTTAGAGAGTGAGGGAAGGGGAGGGGAGGAGAGAAAAGAGAAAACCCTGGTTCAAATCTCGCCAAGTTTCTAGATGTGCCAATCCACAAGGCTACGTTTAGTTCGTTAATCAGTCACTTGTATTCAAATTCCAATTTCAGAACCTTTTGTTTTGTTTTTTTGTTTTTGTTTTGTTTTTCAAGACAGAGTTTCTCTGTAGCTTTGGAGCCTATCCTGGAACCAGCTCTTTTTTTTTTTTTTTTTTCGAGACAGGGTTTCTCTGTGGCTTTGGAGCCTGTCCTGGAACTAGCTCTGTAGACCAGGCTGGCCTCGAACTCACAGAGATCCGCCTGCCTCTGCCTCCCAAGTGCTGGAATTAAAGGCGTGCGCCACCACCACCTGGCCAATTTCAGAACTCTTAATGTCACTTACAAACACGGGGGATAAGCTGTTTTTAAAGCCATGGAAATTCAGAGGATGAAAACTGTGATTGAAGCACACTTTTGGTTGATGATTTCAATTTATTTCAAGTCCTAAAACAAAGTCGTATGGAAGCCATGCATGGCATTATGTGCCAGCTGTCCTGGGTGTTCAAGAGGTTGGGGCAGGAGAAAAACTTGAGGTCACAGGTTCAAGGTCAACAAGGACCATGTAGTGAGAGAGGTAGGGAGGAAGAAAAGGAGGGAGGGGAGGAGGGAGGGAGCATAATGAGGACTAAAGTATGTCTCAGTGACAGAGCACATGGCTAGGTCCATCACTAACACCATAAAAACAAACAAGAAATTAGAATGGCAAGCTATTGGCCTAGCATGATGACACTGGCCTATAGTCCTAGCGTAACAGGCTCCCAGACCGTAGTACAACTGACACCATGGTAGTGGGCACCATTCTGACCTTTAAACCCAGCATGTAGGCTCCAACACCTGTCAAAATGGGAACAAAGACTTAATCCATCAAAGACGTAGTCCATAGTTCCAGGATCCAGGAAAGTCCCTAAATATACTACCCTTGCTTTTTGGCTTCTGTAATTCTGCTTCTTACTAACTGATCTTGCAAGTGAAGTGTGTCAACCAGGATGTTTGTGTGTGTGTGTGTGTGTGTGTGCACACGCGCGCATAAAAGACAAAATCTGCATGATTTGCCAGTATTAAGATTTTACATTTCGCTATTTATTTATTATTTATTTAGAGACAGGGTTTCTCTGTATAACAGCCCTGGCTGGAACCCAGGCTGGTCTTGAACTCACAGAGATCCAGTTGCCTCTGCCTCCCAAGTGCTGGGATTAAAGGTGCACAGCATCACTGCCTGGCTGTGTTCAGCTCTAAGAGTGTCTGTGTGTGTTCTTTGTGGTGTTGCCATGCAACATGAGCACTTGAAGGTGAAGGTAGAAAAAATAAGAGTTAAATAGTTATTGATTACATAATGAGGTCCAGCCTGTACTATAAGAGACCCCCATCTCGAAAAAGAGAGAAAAAGTGGGGGGATATCTGGGGAGAGGGGTTGGAGAGGTGGCTCGGTGGTTAAGAGCACTAACTACTGCTCTTACACAGGACCTGGGTTCAGGTTCCAGCACAAAAGTGGCCGCTCATACATGTCAGGAACTCCAGTTCCAGGGAATCCAGTGCCTTCTTCTGACTTCTGTAGGCACCACGCATGAATGTGGTAAAACATATACATGCAGCCAAAACACCATACAAATAACATCAAATCTAATGTCCCAGTTCAATTTTCAGAGCCTACATAAAGGACAGAACCGCTGCTCTAAGGTAAGGGTGATAGGAGAGAAATGACTCCACAAAATTGTCATCTGGCCACATATTCACCCTGGCTCCTCCAATAATAATCAAACAAAACAAAAAGCGAGGTATGGTACTTGTATTCATGATCCCAGCACTTAGCAGGCTGGGCAGGAGGATCACTGTGAGTTCAAGGCCAGCCTGGGCTACAGAGTAAGACCCTGTCTCAAAAATCCATAAATAAGAGCCGGGTGGTGGTGGCGCACGCCTTTAATCCCAGCACTCGGGAGGCAGAGGCAGGCGGATCTCTGTGAGTTCGAGACCAGCCTGGTCTACAAGAGCTAGTTCCAGGACAGGAACCAAAGCTACAGAGAAACCCTGTCTCTAAAAAACCAAAAAAAAAAAAAAAAAAAATCCATAAATAACCAAATCCATAAAATAGAAATAGAAAAAGGGAAAAAGGAATTACTACATGATGTGTGGTATTATTTGACTAGATATAAGTATGCAGGATTTCTTTGTATATTTCATGTACTCAAAACAATGAGTATATAAAATTAAATGGTATCTATAAAAATAGTAACTGCACACACACTACTAATTCAATAAAACAATGAGAGAGTATAAACTTCTATGACATATCAAAGATATGGAATGTTAGAAAACACGTAAACAGCATCCAGAAGGCTTTGGCTCCTGGGGCAGTTGATAGGGACCCTGCTGAGAGAAGCAGAGGCTGCCGTACCTCAGGTTGCCCTGAGGTTGCGGAGCATCAGATATCCGGTAAGCAGTGTGGTCGCCCTGCAGGACAGGAAGGTGAAGTCATGACGTTAGCTCAAATATCCTCTTTGGGATGGGAAATCCCTATTCTTGAAGTCTGAAGCAGACCGAGATTTCCCTGATAAACACGCTCTGAGACCAAATGATCAAACCCCAGCTGCAGACAAACTCAAGGAACTATTTAGTAGAAAAATTCCAAGTTGGATATCCTGCTGGTGACTCTCTCCAGAGTTCAGTTAAAGTGGCCTCCCTGTGATTTCCTGAGTGCAGTGGCTGTGGCACACAGGGAGACAGACTCCCTCATGTTCCTCTCCTTCCCCCACCTCCATCACGTTCCCTGCCTTGTCTTCTGCAGTGTTTCCTGCCTGAGAGGAGCCAAGTGGCCAAAACGTCCTCTCCAGGACTGAGCGTGAGCTGGTCATTTCCACGCAGCCCTTTCACCAGCATCTCTGCAGTAACCGCTGTGCTCATGTGTGAACAATCTATGTGAAGAATCTATATATGCAGGGCACATGACCGATAAACACCCGCATTAGTAAAATAAGCATCCAGACACAAAGTATATGTGCACGCCCTGAGTTCAAATTGTATGCAATCACTTAGCATGGTTTTTGGGTTTTTTTTTTCTTTCTTTCTTTCTTTCTTTCTTTCTTTCTTTTTTTGTTTGTTTGTTTTTTGGATTTTTCATTTGTTTTTATCTGTAGAGCTACAAACTAATTGCTGTAGCATGTTTGGTCACTAGGAAATAAAACTGAGTCATATGGCCAATCTTGATTATTTTTGCTGATCCTTACCAGCATAAAGCTGGTTATCAGAATGAGTTGACAAAATCATCAATGTGTTTTATAAGAACTGGTTTTTCAGACTGAAGAGATGGCCCAGTCGTTAAGATCCAAGGCCTGCTCTTTTTTTTTTCTGATACACAGACTTTATTGAGATTTGTCACATACAATAGAGCATCCAAGTAGCAATCCAGAAGGGCAGCATGTCATCTTGTAATAACTGACACTTGTGGCTTTTCAAATTTGGTTTGCAGAAACTTTATCCTCAATTAAATCTAGCCATGCTTTTGAAAATGCTTTAGGTCACTCCAACCTTGGCAATTAACATTTGGCATGGACAATGATTAAATCACAATAGATAAATACCAGACAGACCTTGTAGCCATGAACATAGACAGCAGAAGGAAATGGTAGTGAGTCAGGAGTTAACCATAGTTTATGGGAGGATCTTAGCAGAGACAAGAAGCCTTGATTCACAAAATCTCTCCAAGCAGGAGCCATATCTACAGTACACTTTACATCACTAACACACTGAGAATACATATGTGATGAGCTCATTTGTATTAATGCCTACATCCTTTGAAGTCAACAATACCTTCGTATAAAAATATTCATGTTGTACTTGCAGACAGTCTGGGTTCGGTTCCCAGCACTAACATCCGGTGAGTCACATGTGCCTGTAGCTTCAGCAGCTCGATGATCTGACTTCTGTGAACATCTTCACTCACGTGCTATGCACATAAGTTAAAAAAAAAAAAGAGCTAGTTCTCTGGGTATGGGGAGTATAGCTCAGTGGTAATAGTATTTCCATAGCACGTGGATGACCCGACTTTCATACCCAGCACAACACAAAGAGAATAAAAAGAGTATGTCTTTTAGAGTGTTAAAGTCAAACTCAATGTGATTCTTAGTGTACCTTTGCCTTCCTGTCATCACAGTGATTGATTATCTAAGTAGCATGGTTCAGTTGGAAAATTCAGGCACAAGAGACCATTATTGTTGGTTTGTTGATTTTCGAGACAAGGTTTCTCTGTAGCTTTGGAGCCTGTCCTGGAACTAGCTCTTGTAGACCAGGCTGGCCTTGAACTCAGAGATCCATCTACCTCTGCTTCCCGAGTGCTGGGATTAAAGGCATGCACCACCACTACCCAGCGAGAGAGACCATTATTATATGGTTCAATTCTATGGGAAGTGTTGAGGGATAGACAAAAGAATACTCCTCTGGTGCTCAAGACCATGACTGTGTTTGAGAAATAAAATGACCAAAGATAGAGGGACAGAAGAACAGTGCACATATTCTATTAATTTTTGCATGTCTGTTGGAACCTGCAAAGAGGAATGGACAGACAACTAAATGACCAGGACAGAAGCTGTCATTATCTTTGAGAGAAACTCTAAGTTGTGAAAAAGCAACAAAAGGGATGTGAGCCAGGAAATGGGAACTTGTACAGAAGTCACTGGGTGCTATGGATGGTGGGGAGCGGGGGTGGGGGTGGGGGGAGCATAAGAGTTACTGCAGGGACTTTGTTTTCTCAGATCCACCCCAGCATGGATTATCAGAAGCCTGTGATAAGAGATTTCTTCCTTCCTGGCAAAGAGGACGTTATCTCAAGGGAGGCTTCACTGTCAACTTCAGGAAGAAATGGGCAAGGCAAGTTTTCCCTCTTGCACCCGGTGCTTCTCAAAATAATACACAGAGCTGATGTGTTTGGGGGCATGTCCTTGACCATTTCCGTAGTGTGTGCTTGTTTTTCAGTGTCCTTTGGGAGTTAAATGTGGACTGTCTACACACACACACACACACACACACACATGCTTCTGTTGCTGAGATTAGAACCCAGGGGCAGGTGCACCATGCATGCTAAGCATACAGTTTGCTACAATACACTCTAAGATTTTGTGTGTGTGTGTGTGTGTGTGTGTGTGTGTGTGTGTGTGTGAGCATGGTGTATAAGCACACATGTGTGCTCAAGTATGTGCATCTGAGTGTGTAGGAAGGCCAGAGGAGAACACTGGTTGTCCTGCTGTATTGCTCTCCATCTTATTCCTTTGAGCCAGGGTCTCTCACTGAACCGGGATCTAGCCTAGAGACCACAAGACCTAGTAATCCTCCTGTCTCCACACTCTAAGACACTGGGGTTATAGGCAGCCAGACCTGGTGTTTTTTATGTGAGTGTTGGAATCTGAACTCAGGTCCTGATGCAAGCCCTTCACCATCTGAGCTATCTCCCCAGGCTGTTTTATGTTTTAAGGTGAGGGTCTTGGTGAAGTGTGTAAGTGTGTTGGCTCACACTTGTAACCCAGGACTTGGGATCAGGAGTTTAAGGCCATTATCAGCTACATATTGAGGCTGAGGCTGGAGCCTGGGCTACATGGGGGGCGGGGGGCATCTCTACCACCGGGCAAACACCACTAGCCCCTACAGCTCACAATTTATTTATCTAACTTACTTATTTGTCTAACAACTTATCCAAATTTACTCCCTTTAATTTTTCACTCTCCCTCAAGAACCATTGATGTGAATTTTGAGCATTAGCAATCTAAGCATGTCAAATGCTCATCAGAAAGGACAAGTCAGGTATCATGGTGACCCATGCTTTTAATCCCAGCATTCAGGAGGCTGAGACAGGAAGATGGCAAAGTCCAAACCCAGGCCCTCTGCAAGAGCAAAACAAACAAACAAAAAACAATATCAACAACAAAAATGCTCTTAACTGCTGAGGTGTTCATGCCTGTGGTCCCAGCACTCCAGAAGTAGAAACAAGAGGATTCCAATTTTGAAGTCATCTTCAGCTACATAGTGCATTCAAAGGCCAGCAAAGAGGGCTGTGCTAGCCCTATGAGGTTCCTCTGAGACTGGGCTCTGCTGTCTCAGGAGTGCGGAATGTGGGGAGTTAGGGTCATTTGCTGCTATGGCAGTAATGGTGTTGGGGTACATAGGAAAGGAGACTGGGCTAGCGCAACATGACTCCATCAAAATAGGGTTCACAGAAGGAAGGCATACTAGAAAAAAAACATACACAGACCATGTTCATGGACTTCTGTGCTCAGATGCCAACCTGTACTACATGAGATAGTCTCAAATGAAATCAAACATGACTGGTAAAGAAAGAACCAGAACTACACAGCAGCCAACAAGGTAGATCTATGTTTCTCAGAGATGAGTCCCAAGACCCTCAACGGCACCCTCCCCTAAGACTCCAATCACCATTCCCTTTTGCCCAACTATTTGTAGTAAATAGGAGGGGAAAAAATATTACTGAGGGTGTGTTGTTTCAGCAACACAGCTACCTTTCGGGCTTTGTAAATGACCCCACTAAGCCAGGCATGGTGAGGAGGATTGCAGTGAGTTTGAGGATAGCCTGGGACACATAAACATTTAATTATGCAAATTATATATATATATATGAAAAGCAAGCAAAGGTCTAGCCTCAAATGCCATCAGAGGCACTGGCTTCCTCTGCAACTGGAAGCTGAAGGACAACTTGCTTCAGCAGGCATCGTGCCTTGAGCAATTTAGGGCAAATGACCAAAGAAAGAAATCCAGGAATTAATTTGATGAAAAGCCCTCTTTTTCATGTTTCAAGGCCCTCTTTCGTGCCCTTTACTTCTTGGAAGTGTGAGCCTCTCATTCTGTGGCACCTCAGCTCTTCTCTTTGCTTGCTGACTCTGCTGATTTCTTCACCTTTCCCAGCTCAGGCACCAGCAGGTTGATTCTCCTAGGCCCCTCTGCCTGGCTTTCACTAGTTTTCTCATGTCTGGCCCCTGCAGGCAGATGTGCTAATCAATCATCCCTCATGATACTGAAACCCCTGGATAATTACAGAGACAGATTATCTTGGTTCATAATTTTGGAGGTTCCAGCCCAGGAATGGGGACACACATTGCTCTGGGCCTCTGGTAGGCATGCCTGATGGTCATGGTAGAAGCCCACAGCAGAGCAAAGTGCTTACCTTGTGGCTAGGAAGCAAGAGGAGAAAAGGATGGGGTCAGGGTCCCGCATTCCTCCCTTAAAGTTTTTATTTTATTTTATTTTTTTATTTATTTAGACTTTTTTCCCCCAAATTCCCACTCCCTCCCGTCCTCCCACTCCCCCTCCCTCCCCAGACCTTCCCACCCCACTCCCTGCAATCATAAAAGAGGGCCATGCACCCCATCCTGTGTAAAGTCCCAGGCCCTCCCTACTACATCTAGGTTGAGCAACGTTTACATCCATAGGGAATAGGATCCCAAGAAGCCGGTATATGCAGTAGAGACACATCCCAGTGTCACTATCAGTGACCCCTAAGTCTGTCCCAGCTGTCAACCCCCCTTCAGAGGGGCTTGGTTGTTTCCATGCTCATTCATTCCCAGTCCAGTTGGAGTTGGTGAGCTACTATTAGCTCAAGCAAACTGTCTCAGTGGATGACCCGATCATGGTCTTGAATTCCTTGCTCATACTCTCACTCCTTCTACTCTTCAACTGGATCTTGGGAGCTCAGTCCAGTGCTCCGATGTGGGTCATTGCTTCTGTTCCCATCTGTTGTTGGATGAAGGTTCTCTGGTGATATTTAAGGTAATCATCAGTCTGACTACAGGGTAAGGCCACTTCAGACATCCTCTCCTCTATTGCTTAGGGTCTTAGCTGGGATCATCCCTGTGGGTTCTTGGGCATTTTTCTAGAGTCGGGATTCTTGCTAACTCCATTATGGCTTCCTCAATCAAGATATCTCTTTCTAAAGTTTTGTTTTTAATTTAACAAATTTACTTCGTGGGGTGGTAAGGGAGGGAGCACACATGTGAAGGTCAAGAACAACTTTCCAAGGTTAGTTCTCACCTTCTACCTTGTTTCCTCAAGAGCTCTCATTTCTTCTTCAGGCTATACTCCAGGCTAGCTGGTGGTGAAGCCTCTGGCCAGTTCTTCTCTTTCTGTCTCCCAACTCACCATAGCAATTCTGGGGCTGCTGATACAGCTGGCTTCTTACCTGGGTCCTGGAAATCAAACCCAGTTTGTCAGACCTATGTAGTCACTACATTTACAGGCTGAGTCACCTCTTTAGCATCCAGAATCCCCTTTAAAGGCAGACTCCCAGTGACCTAAAACCTCCCAAAAGGCCCTTTTCCCTAATGATTCCAGCATCTGTTGGTAGCACCATCCAGAAGACCATGTCTTTAAGACATGGCTGTGGAAGACATTCAAGATGGATGACCATGGCATCGGGGACACGCCTACTTTCTTCTCCATTTGCAGCCGGCTAAGGATTTGCTTGAGGGCTCTTACAGTCTGTCCCTTTTGTATCTGATGCTTAGATTTCACTTATCAAGTCACTAATTGAGCTAATGAAAACACAACTGAGAAATTATTGTACACATAGCCCTTGATCTGCCACTTCAGATTCTCAGAGTAGTTTGTTTATTTGTTTATTTACCTATCATCTATCTAACTATCTATTTTTATTTATTTATTGTTATTTTGTTTTGAGGCAGGGTTTCTCAGATGAAAGACGTACACCACCACCGCCTGGCAGTAGTAGTATTTTTATGTTAATGCTTCTTTTTTGGTATCTTAATTGGGTGTAGTGGCACATGGTTTTAATCCCAGCACTCAGGAGGCAGAGGCAGGTGGATCTCCATGAGTTTGAGGCCAGCCTGGTCTACAGAGTAAGTTTTCAGGGGTACATAGTGAGATCCTATCTCAAAAAAATAAATAAATAAATAAATAAATAAAAGGAAAGAAAGCTGCTTCATTTATTTTTATTTCTTGTCTGTGCATGTTTTAGTTTATGTGTGTGCATGTTTTGTTGGCATGCACATATGTACATCACACGTGTGCCCACAGAGGTCAGAAGAGGGTGTTAGGTCCGCTGGAACTGGAGTTACAGATTGCTTTGAGCCACCCCCATGAGTCTGCTGGGAAGTGGACCCCGGTCCTCTGCAAGAGCAACAAGTACTTTTAATCATCATTTCTCCAGTCCCCAAACTATTTTAAAAGTTAATAAGGCTGGGTGGTGGTGGCGCACGCCTTTAATCCCAGGACTCGGGGGCAGAGGCAGGCGGATCTCTGGGAGTTTGAGGCCAGCCTGGTCTACAAGAGCTAGTTCCAGGACAGGCCCCAAAGCTACAGAGAAACCCTGTTTCGAAAAACCAAAAAATAGGAAGGTTAATAAGACAGCTGGGTGCAATCCTAACAGTCCTGAGGCAGGGACAGGAGGATCAGGAATACCTAACCAACTTGAGCCTCATAGTGAGTTAAAAGACAGCTTGGGCCATAGGGCATCTTGCCTCAACTTCTTTTCCCTCCCACAAAGCTAATGAAGCGCATTACGAAAGATTGTTTTAAAAAACTGTTCCAAAGTACTTTTTAAGTATGGTTATAAATACCAGGCTTGTCATGCCTAAAGCATTAGACTTAAGTTTAAAATGAAGGGTGCAAGCCCTGTGCACTTGTCTCTGATTACTTGTGATTATCTTCAGCCAGATAATCTTCTATTCAAGCCGAGTGCATCTTGGTTTTGCAATATGATTACAGATTTTGGAACCCTGACCTTTGTAGGACTTTCTCAACTGCGCTCCATCAAGGCTTTGTTCGTGCGGAACTCTGATGGCTGGGGTCTTTCACTAGAAGAGGTTGCCCCTTTCCGTTTTAGGAGGCTGCAGATCATGGACCTCT